AGGGATGTCTTTTCCGGTATCACTTAATAATGAATCTCAAGAGCTTAGGACAAGGAACTTGCATAGCAGACATGCAACAAGTACTTACTGAATGTAGAATAAATGAATAGTTAACATTTACTGTATCATACTATTAAGTTGGCCAAAAGAGTTTATTTTTTTTCTGTGCGATGGCTCTAATAGTGCTTAGTTGTCTTTAACTTCATTCAAAACAATTTTGTTAGGTAGTATTGTGACAGCTGTCATATCAGTGTGCATTTAAAAATACTTATCAAAATTGGTGAATTTTTGTGCAGCCATTTTAATATTGAAGGTGGAAGAAGATACACAACATTTTCAGCATATTATGCTTTATTATTTCAACAAAGGTAAAAATGCAACTGAAATGCAAAAAAGAAAAAAGGTTTGTCCAGTATATGGTGTTGTGACTGATCGAACATGTCAAAAGTGGTTTGCAAAGTTTCTTCATACTATTGATACTTTGGCCAAGTAATTCTTTGCTATGGGTCTGTCTTATGCATTGGAAGATGTTTAGCAGCACCCCTGGCCTCTACCCACTAGGAGCCAATAGCAGGAAATAGCTGACATTCTCAAAATATCCAAATCAATAAAGTTATTGGTAAAAATGAAAAGTGTGTCTTTTATTTTACAGGAAAAACTAAACAGACTTTTTGGCCAGCCCGATATATACCAGTCACTTCACTTGCTGCGTCCCTTTTCTTGTTTAATCATAATGCTCATTTACTCTTAATGCCTATTTTCTCACTTAATCTTTATGCTCATTGAGAGATAGTCATTGTCAGTATACCCATTCCTCAGATGTGCAGACTGAGGCACAAAGGGGTAAGAAGCTTGTCAGATTTGGGCAGAACTGGCTTTGACTGAGGTTTTTTGAGTCTGGACACCCTGGATTTAACAACTGTGCATGGTGCTGTGTGCTAGGCCTTGTATGGCATAGCCATGTTTATACAAGTGGTAGAACTACCTCCAGGGGACCACCAGCCATTCCCCTTCAATGTTTTCACTTTGAGTGAAGTTTCCTTTCCTGCAATGCTGTGACAGAGACACTGAGGGTAGGGGATTCAGGAAAGGCTGGCTGGCCAACAATGAGTCCCTGTCATTAGCTAGCTCTATGGCTGTGTAACCTTGCACAGTATCACCAAACCTCAGTTTCTTTACTGATCAAAGAAAGAGACTTAGGATCTTTGCCTTCCCTTCCAGCTCCAATATTCTACCATTCCTGTGACTCCCAAGGAGCCTGATGTGAGTGGAAGAGAGAGGACCACTTGTTACTAGGCAACCAGCACCCACCTCACCCATGTTGCCATGGTGATGATGAAAGTTGGGCTGATGGGATTATCAGTTAATTGCATATGAGATCTCAAGACCTCTGTCTCTTGCTTGCTTGCTGAGTCTCACTTAGTTATTCTCTTTGGAACTGTGGAGAGATGTTTCCCCCTAAACCCCCATCATCTGCAGGGTCCCCAAGGCAGCCCTAATGCACTGGAAAGGAACTGAAATTTCTGAGAAGCTGTGTGACATTGCACAGGTTGCTCAGCTTCTCTGGGCCTCCATTTCCCCATTTGAAAAATGAAGGTGTTAGAACAGTAATCTCTGTCTAAGGCTCTTCCTTGCTCTCAAATCCTTTGATGCTTAGGGAGCGTGTCAGGGGAGCCGACCACACTGTTACCAGGCAACCAGCAGGCACCCTGCCCAAGTTGCCTTGGTGACTGTATGCTGGAGGGAGGGTAGTAGCTGCTGCAGCTAATTGCTTAATTATTTATGAGTGCCTTTTTGTTGTTTTTGTTGCTAGGGGCTGTATGGTTACCTTCTCTTCCTCTCTCCTGCCACCCCAAGTCATCTGAGTTGCGTGTTACTCAAAGCACGTTGGCCTGGATCTCAAGCTACCCATGCTCTAGTCCTGTCCTGTCATTTCCTAGAGTGGTGGCCTCAGGTAAGTCACCCTATCTGTCTGGGCCTCAGTTTCCTCATTTGTAAAATGATAGGTTTGCTTAGATAATCTTCAAATTTCCTTTCTTATCAAAAACTTATCAATTCTAATTCCTGCTGAAATTCTAATTCCTGCTGTCCAGTTACAGAGGGGGAAGATGAGGAGAATTTTCCCAATTTGTTATCTTCTGGGGATGATTCTGAAGAGCAATAACACATTTCAAACAGTAAAGGAATGAAAGTTATGCTCTTGTTCTCTCCTTGCCTCTCACCTTAGTGACATTACTTGACCTCTTATCCTTGACCTAAATTACTCTTGACCTCTTATTACTTGACCTAAAGGTCATTTAAAAAAATTTTTTTTGTATATCACCTACTTCCAAAAGAGGTTTGAGGGGTTGTATAAGATGCATATGCGTAAGATACACATGTGAAATTAGGTCATTACAATAAAATAGGAATAAAGTAATATAAAAAGTGATGTTCCTTCATTGGTTAATACTGATGTTGTGATTAACCATCAAATGTAATATTGACCATCCTGGAAGCCAAAGCAAAAAAGAGAGGGAAATACATAACTGTTACTCAGTAAAGAAAAACTGTCAGACTGTTCTAACTTCTGAAAGTAATTTATCATGTGGTACATATTGTCTTTTAGAAACTGCATATAAAACTTTTAAATTAAGCCTCTCTTGTTTAGGGTGTTGTTAAAGGACATAAGGAAGAAGTTAAACTTGACAGTTTGGCTAGTTTTAATCATTAGAAAGCAAAACCCCCCTTTCTACCAATGCCTGAGAATTTGATCACCATAAATGTCACTTGGTAAATATAAATTTTAAGAATCAGCTACTATTTATAAATTAATAATGTATAAATTTATGTAACCACTTTGCACAATAATTTGGCAAAATGTATCAAAATTTTTAAACATAGACAAAAACTCTGCTTCTCCAAACTTGCTCTGAAATAAATTTGTACAGATGAGGAAAGATATCAAATACAAAATTGCTTATGGTAGCATTATTTATAAAATGAAATGACTACAAACCACAGAAATCTTGAGGGCTAATGAATTAAATTATATTACTTCTTTAGAATGGATTACTTTGCAGCCCTTAAAATGAAGTAGATCTATATGTTTTGATACAGAAAAAAACTTTACATATATAATGTTAAGTAAGACAAGGATGTGCAGCAATGGTATAAAATGCTTCTATTTCTGCTATAAAAAATATAGATAGGTATAAAGTTTATATATTTAGATGCATGCATTTATATGCATACTTACTTTTTTCTGGAAGGAAACTGTTAACAGTGGTTTTCTCTGGGCAGAAAGACTGATAGCCTTGGAATGAAGGAAGACTTACTATTTATGTCCTTATTTTTACTATGTGGACATGTTAGATTTTTTAGTTAAAGAGGCAGTAGAGCTTGGAATTTAAAAGCCTAGACTCTGTTCAAATCCTGGCTCTCTCACTTACTAGGCATGTGACCTGGGGGTTAATTTAACTTCACCACTTCTCACCAATAAAATAGGCCAATAATAGTACCCCTCTCTCATTGCATTGTTGTGAGGATTACATGAGTTAAATACAAAGTGCTCAGAACAACCTAAACAATGCTATATTTGTATTTTTCTCAAAAATATAAAACGAGAAATTTTTTAAGTGCATCTAACCTAAAGGACCCCCAGTACTTAAGAGTTCAAAAGATATTATATACATGTCACTGCTTCCAGCATCATATGCTGTATAGAAATTATGTTTGAAGCAGTGATCAAAAAGTAGTCATCTTGTTTTCATTCTCATTTTATCTGGACTTGAATACCTTCTAGGGAAGGTACCTACCCTGGAATTTGTAGTAGGCATTTACCATGCCTGTGATGATGACCCTGAGTGCACCTGGATTTTCCGCTCTTCTGGTTCGTTGCAGTGAATGCTCAAGCTAAGAGTAGAGTGTGTTAGGCTAGGTGGAAAATCTAGGAGGAGCTGGAACCATTACAGCCAAAGAAATTCAAGGTTAAAGAGAGTATCCATGCCTATGCCAGTTATGAGACATGTATTCACATGCCCTCACGCTTCTCCTTTTCTTTTGAGAGAGCGACAAAGATCTGGTAAGAGGGGCTGTGCTAGTAGGATCCGTGAGGAATCTTTTGGCGGTAGGGCCTTCCTCTTTATTCAGAGGTGCAGAAAGCAAAGGGCTCTGAGTTCAAGACTGCCTGGTTTCCTCCTCTATCCTTGCAGGTGCTTTGGGGCAAGCCTGGAGAACTTCAGCTGACTTTGGGAATCTTCCTTTGAAGTTGACCACACTTTATAGGCTGGGCTTGAGCCCCTGACTATGGGTATATGGTGGCCCCAAGAGAGGGTGGGTTGGGGGCTCTAGTCCCTCCAAATCATCTCAGTTCGGAAAGTGCAGTCACCATGAGGAATGCAAGGCTGACCCGTTAAATTTTCATGAGTTAGTGGTTCCTAGCTTCTGTCTGCCTGGCCCTTTCTATCTGCACTCTTGGGCATTCCAGTCTCTTTATCAATTTGTCCAGAAGTTCGCATTGCATCTGTCACATGCAACTGTGCTTCCATCTGCCCTTTCATCATTCCTTCCTACTCCAGTCATCTGCCAACTTTCCTACCCACTCCTCCTTTCCTACCAACCACGGAGTTACACCTCCCATCATCTTTCCATAGTGGCCCGTCCATTCATTCAACTGCCGACCACTTGTCTGCCTGCTGAGTCAGCCGCTAGACCGGTACTGTTCCCCCATCGCCATAGCCTCCCAAGACTTCCCAGGCCCCTGCTCTGCCCTCCGTCCTTTGGGTCTGGGCCTGTGCGGGATGGTACCACTTCGCCCTTTGGCCTGGCAGCTTTTGTTCAGCCGGCTTGGGTGGCCAGGACTTGGGGCGGGAGGGGCGGGGCACGGACCTGGGCGTGGCCTGGGGGCGGAGCGGGGAGGGGACAAGGGCGAGACTTAGCACGGGGCGGGACGCAGTGGGCGGGGCTTGGCGCGGGGCTGGCGGGAGTAGGCGTGGGGGCGGGTGGGGGCGGGTGGGGGCTGGACCGGGTTGCCTGAGCCGCTGCTGCCCCGCGGTCCACTGGTCCGCCGGTCGCCGGCCTGGCAGGCGGGGCGGAAAAAATGGCGGGGCCCCGGGCTGCCCCCGCCCCCGCGCTGCCGAGGGGCCTGCAGCCGCTGTCGGCGCTGCGGCCCGAGCCGGGCGGGGTTCCGCTGCACTCGTCCTGGACCTTCTGGCTAGACAGGTGAGGACCCCACCGTGTGTCTGCGGGCCTGCGCCACCGCTTTGTCTCGGGCTCCCAGGCCCTGTCTGCCGCCGCGGGGCCTCGCGCAAAGCAGGTTTGGGCCCAGTCGAGCGACTAGGAGAGAAGAGGCTCAGCCCCAGAAGTTTCGGCCGCACTTCCCCTTTTTTCCCCTTTAAAAGAAGAACTGCTGGCGAGCGTCGGAGTAGGAGGCAGAGGGCCAGTCACCCCTCCGGGGCTCTTGGGGAGCTCGAGACACGACCTTGGCAGTGACAGCACTGGGAAAAGTTGACCCGCTCCTGGGAGTGTGTGGTGTTGATACTAGAATAGCACCGTGGTTCCTGTACTCGTGCGGCACCGAAGCGGCCGTGCGTATCTTCTTGAGTTGCTCTTACCCATTGGGCGAGGGGGGAGGGTTGTTTTTGGTGTTTTGTTTGTTTTTGGTTTTCCTTTGGTTTTCTTAGCACTTACCATGGAGCCACACACCTGCTAGGCGCTGGGGATTCAATGGGGAACAATACTTCACCTTGTCAGTCCAGTTGGGACGATTATAGCTTCCTTAAGGGACAGCTTAAGTGCCATGTTCTCAGAAATGCCTCCCTGACTACCGCATCTTAAAATCAGTGCACCCCACCTTCCAACCATTATCTATTCTGCCCTTGTTTTTGTTATGACGCTTAACGGTACGGCAGGAATCTTTCTCAATCCCTCAACACTTCCCTTCTGTTAAGGGCCAAAAAGTAGGAACTTTATTTTTGACACTAGCTGTGTATATCCCAACACCTAGAACTGTGCCTGACACACTGTAGGAGCACAAGAAATTTTTGACAAATTTATAAATACAAAGTCCCTTTTTAGTATCTGTCACATGTGGGTGCCCAGCATGACATCGCAGGGTTGTCTGTCCCAAGAGCTCATGGAAATTTTGCGAGCACTGTCTGTACTATGGTTTAAGTGTTTGGCAGAAATGTACGTGACAGCTTTCTGTGAAATTTACTTTTCTTAGAGGCAGGTCTTAAAAGGCCTGGGGTATAAAATGCCTTCAAGACTTTTTAAAAGTGATTGTCATCTCTTTAAGAAAGATAGGCTCATTCTTTTCTTCCTTTTGGAATTAGCACCCATCTATAAGAATTGACACTTGGAGACATTGTCTTTTCCAGGACCCAAAAGAAGTTGGGGGTGGGGGAGATATAGCGAGTCTGTTTTCAAAATATTTTCACTTTCATTATGGGATGGATGTTAAGGGAGAATTTACTGTCATAACGAGAATGGTTTTGGCACACTATCAAAATGAAATCATGCGTGTCTTTATTTTCAAGGGTGTGGTGTAACTGTGGTTATTAACTGGTATCTGTTTTGAAGGAGTTAAACCTGGACCTGTGGTCTAAATTATGAATACTGTTGACTGGTGGGAACAGTATCAAAAGAGTTTCTTTCTAAACACGTCAAAAATTAGTCTACTTAGAGGGGTACCATTTTAAGAATGGTGCATAGTCTAAGATATTAATACTACATAACAACACATAACTTTAAAAGAATACTTGGTATCTTTTAAGATAAGATGGTAACTTCAGTAAAGACAACTATAGCTTTCATATTGTGTAATTACACATTTTTGTTCTCTGAAAGCCAGAAGTCAAGTGAAATGTACTATTATTGTTACTGTGTCCAAATTTTTAATAGAAATTACTATTAATTTAGAAATTATAATTAGTTCCAGCATTGCAGACATGAATTTATTTTCCTTATTAATTATCCCATAGCTTTAGTTGAACTTTCTCCACTTCTTCGGGAGTCGATTACATTTATGTAGGCTGCCCCCTTCCTCTTGGGTGTATAACACATTGAGTTCTAGAGGTTCATTTATAAATTTTTCCCCTAGAGAAGCAAGATTCTAGAGAGAGTGGTGAGGTTTTTTGCCGATACCTGCCCCTAAAGACATCAGTGTTGAGGTGCACACCATCCAAAGGCCTCCTTCTACTTAAAACTCCCCTTCAGCATCCATCTCCTAGCCTGTCCTACCATCCATCCCACTGTGTGATGATGGACAAGTGATCTAGCCTTCCTAATCCTCATTTCCATTGTTTGTAAAAGGGTGATAATCCTAGGATATATCTCATAGGGCTGCTCTGAGGATTAAATGAGAGCCATTGATGTGAAACACTGACACATAAAAACTTAATAAATGTTAACTTTTAACACTGGTATTTTATGCTTCTAAATTACAAAGCCCTCCCTTCCCAACATCCCTCTCCTACACACACAACCCTCCCCCTCCCCCCACAACCCTTGGAGCGCTTATCTGAACTCAGTGTGAGCAAGCCAAGACCTCATTCATTCCCCTCATGAGTGAATTGGAGAACCCCCTCAGTGAAGTTATTTGCATTTTCAATAGTAAACTCCAATATGACCTTTTTTCCTTTTTTTTTCAGTAGACTGTATGGCTAAGGATTTAAGCACTTGGGAGGTAATTTTAGTTGAGAGTGTAGAATGAAGAGTTTTCCTTCCATTTTCTGGATATTTAAAGCGCCACCCTGTCTTGATTCTTGGAGGCTACTCTTCATTGTGTGTCTCTGCTTTGTTTTCATCTCATGGTTACCCGCTTTTTTCTGATTGTTATCTGCAGGACTCAGTCCTCAGCCCTCTTTGTATCTCCATCCACACCAGTGATCTCATCCATTCACAAGGCTTTCAGTTCCATCTGTGCACTCTTATTCCCCAAACTTGACACTGTGCATTCAGCTCCTCTTCCTATCTCTCTGTGATTGTCTAATACACATCCAAACTCAGTGTGTGGCAGACCACCTCAGCTTCCCTCCCAGACATGCCTCCTTCCATCTGTCCATCTCAGATAAAAGCAGTTAACAACTCCTTCCTTCCATCTGTTTAGCCCAGAAATCTTGGAGTTATCTGTGACTCTCCTCCTCACCTGCCCCCTTTCTCTTCTCTCTTGTCCTCCCTCCCCTGCTACATCCATTATCAACAAATGCTATTGATTCAACCATCAAAGTGTATCCAGAATCCAATTCATTGGCACTACCTGCATCTTAGACGTTGAACCACACCATGTTTCTCACCTGGATAAATGCAAGAGTATCCTAACTGCATCTCCTTGCTTCTACCCTTGTCTCTACAGCCCATTTCCATCACAGTAGCTAGTGGTCCTTTTAATACCTAAATTAAAGTGTGTCACTTTTCTTTTTTCTGTTTCACTCAATAGCAAAAGACAAAGTTCTTATAACAGCCCATGAGACTCTGCAGCATTTCCTGTCCTCACCCGGAACACCTTTTTCCCCTCTGTCTCCCTGTCACTCTCCTTCCCCCCACACCCTTCTAGTTCACTGGCCCTCTTGTTCTTTATCCATTATCCTAAGCATGGTCCTGTGCCACCGAGTTCCCTCTGCCTGGAAAACTGTTCGCTCAGTCATCTGCTAGGTGCCTGTGCTTTTTTTCTTTTTCTGGTTTCTGCTCAAATGTCATCTGAGGGAGGCCATCCTTGAGCATAGATACAAATTAGCATGCACATCCAGGCACATTCCCTGACCCTGCTTTATTTTCTTTACAGGATTAGATCCATTTGCCTGTCTTCTCTCACTAGAATATAAACTTCACAGGGTTCTTTCCTTACTGCTCTGTCCACAGCTCTCAGATCAGAGCCTAGAACAAGTTGGCCCACACTAAATATTTAGGGCGTTATTAAATTCTACCTACAATGACTTTCCCTTCTCCTATGGTGGTTCATACTACTCTGATTATCATTTCCATGTCTGCATCTCTAGCCCTGAACTCTCTCCTGAGCTCTCGACACATACTACCTACCATGTGCTGTGTAACAATACCACCATACTACAAATGTTTCAAAGTTGGAATTCATATTATCCCTTGAATCCTCTTCTCTCTCAAGTACCCTCCTTCATCCAGTTCTGTAGTACTTCCAGTTGTTGACTCATGGTTGGAAAACTTGCTCCAAGCCTCATCTGTCCCCTCCTCTCCACGTCTCTCCCTCTAGAGGCCCAGTTCTCTCTGGGCCCAGATTCTCACTAGTTTACCTTATCCTAGCTTTTCCCTTCTCCAAGTGCCCCCCCACACACACCCCCACCCCGACCTGGATTGGCAGGGGGAGCCTCCTAAACACCATATCTTATCATTCCCAAACCCCCTGCCCTTCTCTGCCACAGCATCGGGTTTTGACTCTTTGTCTCTCACCACCTAAGGTTGCTTCTGCTGTGGGATTGTATGTACCAGACAGGTGGGATTCTGGATCTCCACACCTACTTTTTTACCAGAGCATCTCTGATGGATTTTGTTGTTTGTGTTTTTAGAAGTGGGCCATTTGAATTTGAAAAAAGCATTCCCTCGCTTTAAAAAAGTGAAAACTGTAGACTTCCAAATTATGGTACAAAGTTTTATACTGCTGTGTTTAATATGAAATGCACTTCCTTTTTAGCCTCATCACCTACCTTCCCTCAGCTCAAAAGTACCACTTAGTCTGTGCTTTCTCTCTGGTAACAGCAGACTACTGGCCCTGTTCCTGGATAAACCATGGACTTGCCAGCCTCTGAGATTGGTCTCACAGTGCTCCTTCTGCTTGGAATGCCCTCTCCCCTTTGTCTACCTGCAAAGTTGTCCTGTACCCTTCCAGGCCTCACTAAGATGCTACATTTATAATTGTCTTTCAGTAGCCCGTGGCTCAGGAAGGATTAAACCCACTGTAGCATTTTTAGTAGGCCAGTACTTAAGGATCATTGCTTCCTCTTCTGTCCCTTCTTGATCATGAGGCTCTAACTGCCTCTTGTTCGGCTCCCAGGAATGCATATTCCAGTGCATGTAGTCAGTGCTTAGTGAATATTTGTGTTCTTGTTTTGTTTTTTAATCTTTACTTGAGGATGTGTTTATTGACTTGAGAGAGACAGAGAAACATAGATGTGAGAGAGAAACAGATCGGTTGTCTCCTGTACACGCCAGGACCAGGGATCGAACTCACAACTTTTTGGTGTAAGGGA